TTGGTCTTGTGTGGTCTCGTGGAGGTCTTAAGTGGTCTTGACTACAACACTGTCTGAAACTAAGATTACAAAATTACAAAAAAACAAGATTACCTCACAACTTAGAGACTCATTTTTATTGGATTCATTCACTGATAATGAATTTCACACTGCATATATTGGAGGCCTTTGCACTCGAGCATGATCAGCACCAATGGCTGCCTCCAAAACCCAGTCAAGATACTTTTTTTTTAGTGGTCCAAGTTCATGGTTTTTGTTTAGTGTAATTTCTATTTAAGCTCTCTCGTGAATTGTACCCCAAAGGGAGTGCCACCAGCAGCATGATGGACTCCATGTGGACCAGCATGAGCATGACCAGCTCCATGCAGCTGGCCCAGGAATGCCTCAAGCGGGACAGCTCCGAGACCGACCCCGATCTGGCCTCTCCCTCCTCTTCCTCGTCGTCTTCCTCTTCCCAGCCATTTGAAGGACCCGAGCTCCTGGCCCAGATGATCGAATCAGGTAAAGATTGGGAGAGGGGATAACAGGTTAGGGGTGGGGTGGGAGGTCCGGGGGGTCCGGGGAATTGGCAGCTGGGGATTGTGATACATGTATGTGTCTGCCTGCCCGGTAAAAAACAGTTTGGCTCACCTTGTGGAATGGGGGAGGGGGGGAAGATTGTAATGTTGCGCTCTCCCATTAGCCCGCACCCAATATTTGTCTCTGTCAGGAACACCAGGTTTGTCACGAAGTTCATCACAGGCCCTTTACAAGTCCTAGTTGTAGGTCCTTTCACGAGACCAGTCATTCAACTGTACGGAATCCAGACTGGATGATTTGTGATGGATTTGGCGGGGGGGGCTTGTGGTGGACTTCACTGCAACACTGTAAAAAGCAAAGGCATAATCCCGTGGTTGTGGAATATCACTGCACGTGGCAGGTGTGGTGATTTGATGGTGAATCATCCCTTGGCACACAGTGGCTGGTTTTAAGTGTCTGGACAGTGGCCATTTGATGGTAAATCATCCCTTGGCACACAGTGGCTGGGTCTGATCTCGTTCACTTTCAGTGACCAAATTTTATCAAGATGAATCAAATTGTTGGGGAAGGAAATATTCAAAACGTGAAAGGTGACGTTTGTCCTCTTGCCTTCTTCTGTACTATCACCCGTGTGAAAACTAACATTTCTTCAAGACAATTTGCAATGGAAAATTACCGTGTTCCCTTTGCAGAATAAACTTAAACACGGGGTCCAGCAAACTGAGTCTTCAGGTTATATTTTGGTAGATTAGGGAGAGCAAACTGTGTGCTTTGCTTTTGACATATCACTCAGTGTGGCATCCCGAAGCTGGCCTCGATGGCACTAGCGTGCCAGGCAAACTTACTTATTTTTTTCTAGGCCGCAAGACTTGTCACTAGCCCACTGGAATATTTGAGCAATACTGATTTGGCTTTTATCGATTCCATTATTTTCACTTGTTACCTTAGAATGAATGCTATCAGTTTTAAAACTTAAAAGTGGAGGATTCAAAACTTACTCTCAATAATGAACAACATTTACAATCAAAATTCAAAACATTTTGTTACTCTTGTTTTATTCACCAATAAGACAACTGACAGTTTCAAACAGGTAAGTGTCACTTTACCAGCCCTCCGGGCAGGTTAAAGAATGCATTTCTCTAGCCCGCAACATATTTTTTTTCTAGAATTTGCAGGCCAGTCTAGTTCTGAGCTCAAGGCCAGCTTAGGAGGGTAGGTGTTTTGTGGGTGAAAAAGGTTGAGGGTCTTCGTTTATGTACATTGTACAAGATTCTGTTAAAGGCCCTAACCCAAAAGTGGCTTTGACGACTTCTGACCCATTTTGTTAGATTGGGTCACAAGGTAGCTTGTCATTCATGCACCAGTAGACTCAGGAGAGAAGCTTCATTTTGAAACAGTATTAGGACAAGTAGGCTGCACAGAGCTTGGAGTGGTTTAGTATGGAGCCAGTATCCATCTGCCCATTGGACAGGTGCCCGCATTTCGTTAACCCAACCACCTGTTTCCTTTCAGCCCTTCATTTCAATACCCCTTTTGATAAGAAAAATCTGACTAGATAGGCTGTTATCTCATGCACACAGTCCAATGCACTTTGCCTGGGTACAAGCTCTTGTCTCCAGATCTTTTATGGAGAATCCTTGTCCTAATTGTAATAAAATTCGGTGATAAAGCAGCAATACTTTTATGGACTCATCAATCATTTCTTCACGGGACTATAAAAAAATTGTCACGGGTGAAAAGGTTATCTTTGATGGAGCGTGCTGGCCAGCGAATTCATTTATTGAACTAACTGCGGCATTGTTGGGATTATGACAGAACGTGCCACGTTCAGGGTCTTCCTCTTACAGCCGAGCTGTCTCGTCTTTCTGTGATATCCAGCGAACTTCATGCATTCCGGACAATCAAAACCTTGCATTGTTTGGAGCCTTGAGATGATTAAAGCCCCAAAAGAGTGCAGTCGGTGGCAGTGTTCATGGCCCGTAGCTGTCAGACCGTGACGGGACCTGTTAGGTGCGGAAGGATCTAGAGATTTGGGAGAACACTCTTGACAATGAGGCCAGTGTGGGAAATTCATGAGAAACAAAACAGTCAAGGCTAGGGGGAGGCCCGGTCAGATATTTTGCTTGCGTAGGTCACAGATGGATTTTCGTATTCCTGGAGCTGGCATTTCCTTGTGTCGTGGCAAAAATTGTGGCAGTAGCAATCATGGTCAAGAGATTAGATGGAGGTTGGGTACTAGACCAAACATCATCATAGAGGTTAGCAAGAAAAAACTGAAGGTGTTTAATGGCTTGACTATTGAGTGAATGGATAAACAGTCGCCATAGGTTGCTATTTACTTGCACCTTTGTTGCAGGTAGGGCTGAGTCGATTTGAATAATTGACTATTTGAATATTCAACCTTCATTTCGATCGAAAATCCGAATATTCGGCTGCATTGACCGACAGATTGTTGATGAGCAAACCATATACAAAATCAGTTGCAATAACACACACAATTGTACATTATGATCAATGTAATAGCTTCTCACATCTAGGAGTCTCTCCAGCCATGATTTTGCAAAATTGAAGAGATGAACGAGACTTGTTGCCCTGTTGAAGATTTCTATTCCTTTCAAATTGTTTAATGAATAATTTACTTTTTAAATTGTTGCAAGATTTCTGACGCTTTTCGTTTGAATCTGCTTGAAGCCTCCATAGTGTAATTTTTCTCATTTAAAATAAAAGATAAATGTCCCCTTCCTTTTCATGAATTTTGCTTTCGAATATTCAAATTTGAAAAATAATATTCAAATATTATAATATTCGATAGAGCATTTGGTTATTCCGACATTGGGCACAGCCCTAGTTGCAGGTAGCAGTTGATAAAATGTGTTGTTTTGGTGTAAAGTGTGACGTGGAGGAAGGGACAGAAGAAACGAAGATACAAATGAGACTGAAGGATGCCTGACAAATCAAATGAAATGATAACTTGCAAGTAAACGGTAGCTGGATTAGAACAAAACAAGAAACAAGGAAGCAGCTCTCTAGTCACGTGGTTAGAGAGGAGGATAACTTGTCTACATATCTCTACTGGAGTGTGACCATGCACTTGCTTCATAATTGAAGTGTAGATGTTCTGTGATGGAGCAGGGATGTGGGGACAAATTTTTGTCTTCACAACTCCAGTCCCAACTTTTCTCACTGAGAAGTTGTCTCCCTGGGTGCAGTGAAGACCAACCCACCGGCATGTCGAATCCAAGTGATGGACTGGCTAGAGTAAAATGTGACAAATGATGGGGGTTAATGGCTGGGATTTTTTTAAAGGGGGGGAAGTTGACGGGTTCAAGAAGATTGCGGTTTGGATCCTTCCTGCTTGGGGATTGAAAGGGTGATTTGATGGGAAGTTTGTGGTTGGTGTTTGTGGTTTGTGGTTGACTGTTAACAAGACCCTGGCCTCGGTGATACCGCACACATATGGGGGGGTGGGGCAAGGGAAGAGGAGACCAAATTTGGATGGACGGAGGGCACAGACAAAGGGGAGTGTGCCCGGTCTGCGTTGTCTCACCATTCTCTGGCTAGTGCCGACCATAGTGGAAGCCATGCACCAACCCAACCCATCTCTGGGTATAAAGAATGAGGGGTCGCGACCTCCCATTAGACACAGAGGAACTCACTGCAGGCGGTCGGTCGTGATCTGTCAGAACGGTGCAGGGTGTTTTGTGGGATGGTGTCTGGGTATTGATGTGGGTTAAAGTGATAGACATGATGGCACATTTCACATCTGTGCTCTGCACATACGATTTGTGGTGTACTTAAGCCCATACAAGAATTGATGGCAATCTGAAGGCACCTTGTGGTCAGGGTGTGATAGTGATTTGGGTTCAGAGCAAGGCGTATGGTTGTTCTTCAAAATGTTAAGAGCCGACTAGCTCCTTTTGTGGCTCAAGAAAACTCCGTTCTGCTCCGTTCTTGATAATTTTCATGTCCGTTAAGCATGTGTTAGTCAAACTGTGTGGGAATTCAAATCCCCCAACTTTCCTCAGACAAAAACGAGGATTTGTAATACTGGGGTGTGTTTGTGTTTTCTATTATCAAAGCCTTTCAGAACCATGATTTCATATTTTTGGTAAGATTGAAATACCCTTGGCATTTAGTCCGGGGCTTTGGCAGGATTAAAAAGTTTCAACAGCTGCTCACGTTTTTGACATTAACCTTGTCTCATTCTTTCACTGCTTTGAAATGCCTTTATTGCATTAGATTTTTTTTTATTTTCTGTAGTGTTGGCATAGGATGAAACTTTTCTGACTGGCACAATGGATGAGTCAAAAACTATATTTTTTTTGTGATTAATTCCAAGGTTGTTCTAAAAGCTTACCCCCAGGAAAAACCCCTGGAGCTTTTTCTCTTTTTTGTCTCTTCTCTCTGCCTTTTCTCTTTCTTTCTCCCTTTTTTTCTTTTGGCCACACTCCAAAGAGAAGAATTTCAAGGTCCAGACACTTTCTGTTGGCTGTGTTTATCAACATAACCCCCCAGCACGGGACCAGAAAATGCAAGTGGCAGAATGCAGCCAGCCAACCATGAGATTCCAAGCTCAGTTCATGGCCTTTCAATCAAGTGCAGTGTCACAGTTCTGCCAAGGATTGCTTTGAGTTTTAAAAGGCATCCAGAGGGGAAATAAAAGATAGAAGAGAAAAAAGATTGCATTGATTTTTTTTCTCACCGTGTCACGTTCTCATAGAGAAACGTGACAATTACATGTTTAAATTTGACACGAGTGACTAGATTTTTAAAGCAGCCTAATTTAGCGCACCGCGGGTGGAGGTGGTTTTTTTTTCCTTCCTCTTTTGGCTGTTAGAGCTTCAACTAAACTTTGCTGTTCTCAGTGGTTTCCACATCACATCAATTAGATTTGCGTCAGTGACACTGACGGCGGGCTTGTGACGGTTCACAAGCCTCCAGCTATGCCCCAAATGGGGTGGGTGTTAGGGTTAGGGACGTGTCGTTAAGTTGCTGAAAATATTTTGATGTGTGATTGGCCTTGGAGTCAAGGCACTTGGCCCAGTTTCGAAAATCGCACCCTCACAGCCTCCATACATGTACATGCACATGCATATAAACTAGTACACGATGTGTGTGTTGAATACATATACACATATCTCAGGACTTACAGCACATGGGCAAATCTTAATGGATGTAAAGTGTCAAGTTCAAGGGATAAAAACTGCTTAGTGAGATGTCTATTTATGTTGCTTAGCAAATTAAGCTCAACTTGTGCGGTTTGTTCTCAGGGTCCAATTGATTTGAATAGACTGTATTCACTGGGAAGCCATTTTTAAAATCTTGTTTCCTGAATTTATCGTATTCAATGTAATCTGTTAAATGGGGTGGTGCCAGACTATTCTGGGTTCCAAACCTCACTTTCATATATTTTTAAATGTGGCTTAAACGATTGTGATTTATCTCAAATTTTTAATTATTCTAAAAAGGGCATGAATTTGAATAACTATTTTATTTGAAAAATTGCTCATCATGAGGATTTTTGATTTTTGTTTGATAAAAAAATCAGATTTGTTTGATTTAAATTGGATTTTTTAATTTTTATAAAAATATGAGACAAGTTGGCTCAAAGGTCTACTCAAAAGCAAGCAAATTAGCTGCATGTATAATAATTTTCTTTTACTTATTTGTTTGTGACAAAATGAAACAAATTTGGGTTTAAATTAAGAAATTTAAATCAAGTAATTTGATTAAATCCAGAAACCACCATGTCTTAGCCTTGGTGAAATGCATGCGGTATAACACCTACATGTACCAGTACATGTCCCCGCAGAGAAGACTCTTCCTTCACAGACAAGTACATACATACATGCAAATATACTATGCATAAGTTTTAAACCAACTTCCAAGTTTTGACAAAAGTAGAGTTCACAAGAATGTGTTAATAGGGTATTTACACATTCATCAAATGACTCATGAGTGAGAAACATGCCGTGAACAACAGGTGTATACATTTATTTTGCATGCTACATGTACATGTGCACATGTAGGTACAGAATGCTGGTATTTTACCTTGCTCTATGTGCAAAAAGCAGTCTCATTTTGTTAGTGATCCTGCTCCACAGAGCAATGACTTAAGCTTGAATAAACATCACTTTATTAATGGCATGAATTTAGTGGTTTTAGTTGTAACACTATTTGACTAACGTTGTATACATACGTTGTACTTGAAGAGATGTAAATGGTTGATGTACACTGATTTTTTACCATGTTAAATTAACCATGGAGGAAAGACACAGAAGGAGTTTGAACTTCCCTGGCTATAACATCTGGCCAATTACCGCTTTCTGGAATGTCCGGTACGTCCATGGCTAGAGCGTAGTGAATGCTTGCTATGCACCACCTGTTTCACAACCATAAGCCCCCTTTGGTACCCCATGATCATCGCTGCAATTTTTCACTGGTAATCTGCATACTTAAAACGTTGTGCACTGCAGTATAGGAATTTGATTATTCATGCCATCGATGGTGCTTGGTATGATCTGGAAACAATATCAAATTTAACGCTTGTGCAGTTGCTTGTATTAGGCTCTGTGCCTTTAGGTTTCATGTGAAGTCAACACCCTTATCAAATGCTTTTTCTGGAGTTATTTTGGGAATGAATAGCCAAGTTGTTTAAAAGATATTGTGTTTTATTTGATTCATTTTTATTCCGGCATATGTACAAAAAAGGTATTTCATGAGATATCTTGAGCATTCCTTGTCATGAAATAGCGCATTTTGTTTGTTATGAACTTAACTGTCGAATAGTGGTCAACACGTTGCTGGCCAGTCTTAGCCAAATTCGTACAACGAATTTGAAAACTGATGTTTTGGAGAGACAAAATAAAGTTACAAACATTGCGTGGATAATGGAACAGTGTACCAAAGTAAAAAGGCTATCCATGATGGCAAAAGTAGATCTAATGTTGTTAGAGACTTTTCGTTCTCTGTTTCGTGGTCATGGCAATACGTTGTAGTTAATTGCAAACAAAACATGCAAAATATTGCTAGGGTATTACTGGCTAAGCTGCAGGCAGTAATCAGACATTTTTGGAATGTTTACTATTTTTTGTCTGACCAAGCAGCAATGCTCATTGAGCACTTTGAAATCGACACATTTTTGCCTTTTTACCCCCAAAATTAAATATGTTGATTTCAATCAGTGATTAAAAAAAATCATTTTATTTAAATCGCGATTTAAATTGGTGATTTAAATCAGACAACCCTGCTCATCATGAATTTGCTTTTTTTTTCTTCAATTATGGTTTTGTTTTTTTTGTTTCAGTGCTGACCCGTGTGGAAATGACTCTGATTGACACCATCATCAGGCTTGAGCATGTGCCCCAGGGATGCCAGTCGGGAATTGCACTGGAACTCCACATAGAGAGGTCGGAAATTCATACTTAGTTGCATCATTACGAAAAACTGTTATTGGGAAAGAGGGACATAACAGCCATGGTGTTAATGGTGTGTCTTGGCATTAGTTATAAATTAGTGGTAAATTTTCCATGCGGTTTGTAATGGCTGCTGATAAGAACTTCCGGCTATGTCCCAATCAGTTGGTTGCGGCTGGAAATAACATGCATGCTTATGGAAGCCACTGGTCCAGTGGCTGCAGCCACTTCCCATAGATGCTGTGTTACTTGCAGCCGTAGCCAGTTGATTCAGACATACATCGTAGCCTCATCCCTTACTTCCATGGCTGTACTGTGCAGTTTGGGCATGCTCAGTAGCTGGCACTGCTTGGCCTACATATGAGAATCAACAGTGAAGTGTGTAATGCGTGCATGCACTGGCTCAGGCTTATTTGACCAGGGGTATGCATGACCAATTTTCGTTTCGATGCGCACAAGCTTGTGGGTTCTGGATGGATGGCAATCATGTGTTAGTCAAAGAGGTCTCTTTGCCGTTATTGAGGGGATGCTCTGGCAATCTGCCAAAGCATCATAATTGTGGTATATATATTTGCCTTGGCAATGCTTCTTGTTTAATGTTTCCTTTTAAAATCCTTTGAACAACACGTATCCATACGTTTACAGCTAATACATTCATATTACTGCTGAGATGTTGTGCTTTAAAAGAACAGGCCAAAAAATTGGAAAACAAATTTGTGACAAAATCTCAGGAAGTTAGCAAAAGATTGTCGGGGTTTTTCTTGGGCCTGTAAAGCAGGGAATAGGGCATTTTGGGCACGGAGTGCACTTTTTGGCCTTTTGGTACAGCAAGCTGCTCACGATACGGTAACTGCCCCAAAGCTTCTTTGATTGTCCGATTCACCTGACAGAAATTTCACCGACTAAATATTGTGGAAAGCGGCTGAGGGCTTGCAGAGTTCAGGGGCAGTCGGTTACAGATTGAAACCCACCTTCCGCCTCTGGAAAAAAATGAGAAGTACATGTAGCTAAATGTATAAATTGCCACTTGCTGCTCAACTATTGTTTGTGTTGCCTTTTTGTACTCGGAGGTCAGAGGCAGGCAGGTACAGTTCGACGGCACCTGCTGCTGCAAATGACTGAAGAAAAGCTTGAAAAATCAGTACTATTTTTTACAGCTCCTTTGAAGTGACTGTACGGTAAGAGTAACTTCAGGATCAGTACTGGTAGCTTCAGAGTTTTGACAATTTAACATTTTTGTCCAGGGATTTTAATCGGTCAGCTGCTGGCCACATTGATAGGATGTATGGTCCTTTAGCACTAAGCATGCCATTGATTGTTTTGGTTCATGTGGTTAGGTTACGATTCTTTGATGAGGGGGCACACTCTGGCCCTCAGGACCAGGGCAGTAGTGTGGACGCCTCCCGGGTGCCCCACTTCCAGCCGGCAGCCGTCGCCCACAAGAACTTCCAGATGATGGGAGTAACGGTACACTGTGAGGAGTTTCCCGAGGACCAGCGGCACACGGTGGTCAGGGCGCCCTCTGTGGACGTGCATCGGCGCGACCCGCCAGATGCGTTCCCCTCGCTGGCCCACTCGCCAGAGATGCCGCCCCAGCACACCCAGATTGACCAGGGTGGGGATGGGGCCGGAGAGGACTTGAGGGTGGGGGGAGGCAGCGGGAGAGGAGGAGGCTTGGAGCTCCTGGGGAGTTGCATCGTGGGAGAATGCGCTGGCAAACAGGAGGTCAAGGTCAGGGTCAAACAACACGAGCACATCGCTGGACCCAAGGTGGGTAATCAAGAACTAGTCAATGTTCAGATGTCCCAGGCTGCATTCGGATCTGTCACTCATGTTAACTATCGTGTCGAGAATACTATCTTGTGCACAAACAGACCGCAATTAAGTAAGAACGCACTCCCTCTCAAGTAGAATGGTAGTGTACTCTAGTATCACGTAATTATTTTACAATTAATAGATAATGTGTTTTCCCCTTGGGTGATGTGATCTGAGAGTAAAAAGCACACAAGTATCGAGAGTAACATGGGCAAATGCAGCCTAAGGGTCTACAGAATGTGACAGTCAGGTGTATTGTGTGCGCTTTGATGAGCAAGCCGTCTTGTAAGTTTTGAGAACAGTCTCAATTGCGGACCTCAAGATCTGGATCTTGGTTTCAGACTGTTACGTCTCAACTACAACATGAAGGCCCGGACTGCTGTGCTACAGTTAATGTTACCAAGGAGTCCAATCTTGTTCTTATCTTTCAGGCTGAGGTGGAGACTTACCTTGGCTCCATCAATCTCTTCCTGTCACCCAGGCAAGTCCATCTGCTGCTGGAGCTCTTCAGTGGCTTTCTGTCACCCGGTGAGTCATTGGCTAAGGCTGCTTCCCATACATGAGTGTGTTACTCTTAGCCCCAACCAGCTGATTTGAGCTCGGCCTTATCCTTCTTGGCTATCCTCAGCCCATCTTGTGTAGATTATGAGAGATGCCTTCGAACAGAGTTTGTTTTGACGTGGCTCATTTTGGCTTGGTTGAAATTTAAACCCAAAGATGAATGTTGATAAATAGTTTTAAACAGTTTCCAACATGAGCCTTTATACCAGGCCTCGACATTAATGGCTGTCTGATTGTGCAGGACAAGTAATTTCGTCTTTCAGGCAAGTAAAAATGAAGGACAAATTGCCCCATGGACAGGTACTTTTTTCTTGAAATAAAAGTGTCTGGTTTTCGTGGCCAAGAATAGCAGTCACCAGATTCACCTTTGATTTGTTTTTTCCCCTCCAGACGAAAGCTTGTAAAAAGTGGTGAAACGTATACAGCTGTGTGGTGTTTTACAATGATATTTTGCATCGTTACGTACATGTACAAGCTGATGTGTATTAAGCATGCTGTACATTTAGCAGGGCACCTTTCCACACAAGGGAAAATGCATACACAAATAAACTCTAAAATACCCTTTGTGTCTGGGTACCAAACCTCATTGATCATTGCACGAGCGGCGCAGTGCAGCTTTGATGGCCGGAAGCTCGAAGACTGTGTTGCATGGGGCTGTGACTTCAACATTAATGAATTTTGCCTGGTACTTGTGTGTGTACTTTTTGAATAAATGACACCAGGCAAAATTGTCAAGTGGTTAAGAAATAGCCGTTGCCCAAACTTGTATGAATAATGCATCGCAGTCCTGAGCACTCTCTGCATAGACGCAATAGTTGGGGGGTGATGTATATTCATGTTGTATTGTGGTAAAAAAGGAACTTGCTGTCCTGGGAAGCAGTGGGCAATTAAACCAAAGTTTAGGCAAGCAAAATCTTACCTTGGGCAAGGAAATTTTCAGTGCTACTCGCCCGATGGACAAATAGTTTAAAAATTTTAATGTTGAGGCCTGCTTTATATTTGTATTAAGGACATATAAGACGGAAGGTAGGTCTTTTGTTCTTTCAGTGGATGCTAATGAATTGTGTTATTATGTGCAGGCTTTAGAATTAAATATCAATACATTTCTCTATCGTCAGCAACGTCAGATGTCACCAGCACCCGTGGCAGTCAACCCAACAAGCCCATGCAGCCGGAAGACTTCCAGCGAATTGAGAGCGAGCTGCAGGAGCAGCTGAGCAGAGACCGGCTACAGCGGCAGGAGGAGAGGCTAAGGCGAGAATCCTGGGGGCTGAAGGAGGATGAGGAGGAGCAGGGATGCGGGGATATGTTTACCATGCAGTCGCTCATGGGTTAGTCTTTTCACCAGCCTCTGGCGATGATAACGTCACATGATTTTTTTGTCTGACACATGTGACTGAGACATAGACTAAGCATTTCAGTGCTCATTTCTGTTTGAGAAAAGGCCATTTTTCATTTCTCAGCTCCTGCCTCCAGCTTCGTCTTGTGCACCAGACTAGTCTTGACATACTGTTGGGACCAAATCAGAGTGCTGCAAACTTTAGCCACACTTTGCACTACTTTGTGTCAATGTAGAAGAATGGTTGACAGTTTCAACTCTGGCACTAAATTCATGAAACAGAAGCCTGGAGCAGAGGCCACAGATGAGGCCGATAACTGATCAACTAGAGATCCTTCAGTAATCCAATGCAAACTGTTCAGAAGCAAAGCTGTACAAACTGCAAGTGTACTCCCCAATATGATGCGTAACTGATGAGACTAGTTCCCTACCCGTCATGATTATTTCAACAATAAAATAGAAGGCATCAAAAAGCATCAGAGGGAGAGAAACAGTCCTGACATGCTCGTCAGTCTCTGACTCTGTAGCTGAAATAATGAAGCCATTTTCAGACAACGGGAGACCTTGCTGCTATGTTTTGATCCTTACAATCTCAACTGTGACTCTCTCTCTCATGTGCCACCTGTCCCTCTAGATGACGATGACCTGTTCTTCTCCATGACGGGCAGCCTGATGTCCATGTCCCACACTGGCACCTTGGATGACATGGAAACTTCTTTCACTAGCACCGTGAGCAGCAGCTCAACTGACACGTCCAGGACAGGTCAGCGGTCCAGAGCAGGGAAAAAATAGTTAGATCTCCAGAGAGGGACTTTTTTGGCTGGAAAATGTCCAGCAAAGATGCCCTGAAAATGCCAGCTAAGATTACAAAGTAGATCACATATAAATTAGCAAGATTTTTAACAAGAAATGAGACGTAAGTACAGCAACGAACACGACGGGGTCCACGCTATATGTTCGATACAGTGGTCGTTCGGTATAGCGAAATTAACTGCCTAACGTCTTGTTGCCATGTTGAATAGTGCCCTCTTGTCTAACTGAAGTGCACCCTCTTGTGATACTATGATTCGTTTTTTTCGTGATGTTTTGCCGTTGCATTCACGTTTGAAGTTTATTTTTGTTCTTTCATGAAATCTTGAGTTACAAAATTGATATTTAATTTATCCTAAAAGTTGTGAAGCTACCGCTCAGGATCGATCTCTGCTGCATGCTGTGGTGAATCTCGGTTGATTTACAACTGCATAATGTTTGGTAGGTTTTGTGCACGAAATATTGGGAGCCAAGGACGATGTTTGGTACAGCCGAATGTTCGGTATAGCGGTGTTCGGTATAGCGACGTTCCACTGTAAACTTGAAGCTTGTAGGTATTAAGTCCAAACTCAAAACAGTAATTGAAGAGAGAAGAGTTCTTTGTTTCTTAAAAGTTTCAAGAGGGACAAAGGACAAACACTCCCCCATATGCTTCTACCATCTTTGCTAAGACATTGAATTGGCAATCTATATATGACTGCGCTAACTTCAGTTTGTGTTGGGTCTATGACCTAGTTGGCATTTCAAGTAGTTGGGAAATGCAAAGCACCTTCATGATGTAAGAACAAATATTCAACAATTCTCTTCCATCTACCGGAAGTTCTCCACAATCGAGATGTTTCGTGATGTCATATTCACGTTGAAGAGGGCCAGGTGTGAACTGAGCAGTAAGCCTTACATTCTGAAGGTAGCTTGCCCTTCGTCAGTTTGACATGGCAACTGCATATCGTTCATCTGTTACAGGCAGTAGCCTCCCCAGAGTGGTTTACGGCAATACCATTTACAGAGGTCCCAGCCTGACATCATTTGGCACTCCAGTACCTAAAACCACCCAGCCAAAGAGATCAAGATCAAAGAAAGGTACGTCGGACCAAGAATGCCTGCTTTTATTCAAGCAGTACTTCTGACTTTTCTACCACTGTAATTCCTTGAACTTCTCGCCTGTAAATTTCATGGGGCAAGAAAGCAAATCACAAAGGTACGTACAAATCCAGTTACAATGTGGACAAGTCTCATAATCAGTGGCAAAGTTAGATTTCAAGTGTTGCTTCATAGTCTTTGGTTCCGGTATTTTAACTCAGATAAAATGCTATGTCAGGATCAATCTCAAATTGAAATGATTGGGAAAAGTTTAGTTTGGAACTGGAGTGAATGCAAGAGTAAAATTGGTTTAAGGCCTCTGCACTTTTTCTCACGTTTTGTGTGTGAATGTTTTTTACGGTTCTAATTGTCAGTCACCACTGTCACCATATGGAAGATATTGATAGAACCTGACTTCTGTGTTCTAAAGTAGTTGGTTGAAGTTTCAATGACATTTCAAAGTTTTTGCAAGGGTAGAAGTTTTTTATCCTGAAGTAGTGAAGTAATTAAAACGTTTAAGATTGGTTAGGCCCCAATCTGTTGGGTTTGATCAGTAACCACCCCGCTGACCCTCTTCCCCTAGGACTAAGAGAGCAACTAGACGACCCCACAGCTGAGCTGACCCGCTACAAGCTTCGCTTCAGCAGCCTGTCCCTCACCGTCCTCCACAACGACCCCGCCCGCACGCCCCTCAACAACACGAGCCCCGCGGGCGGCAGCCGGACCGCCCAGGGGGCGGACAGGGGCAGGGCGAGTGGCCAGGACGCTCTGCAGGAGAGGTCGGAGGACTTCTTCAGGGTCCTGGGCAAGCAGGGGTACGGCAAGAAGGACCAGGGAGAGTGGAAGGAGAGATTTGCCAGAGCCTGCCCGTATGACCATTTGAGGTAAGCTGGCTGTCATCATTTTCTTCGTTGAAGTTCTCATCTGGTGGCAAAAACTGAGGGTCCTGAGCTCACAAGCCCAAGAAAACTCTGGGGGAAAGAGAATGAGAAAGTTTCAGAAGTCAAGAGAACCACAGAAAATGAAGGCTGTATATCGGTGAAGCAACATTGTCTTCTGTGTACATGTACCTCCTTAAAGTGATGGGTACCAGATTGATCAAAATCAAGTAACACCAGGTATTTAATTTTGACCCTTTAAAGGGAAGGGTTACTTAGATCTCCTCACATTTTTTTTTGGGGGGAGGGGTTCCAAGGAGCTATCCATTGATCGATCCTTGTTAAACTCGGGATACATCTTACCAGAAGCAGTAGAAGTGTTTCTGTGAAGTTTTACTTTAATCCAACAGTTTTTGTTGCTGTCGTATATAGTTCACGCTTTCACTTTTGTCAGCTCTCGCATCGAGCACCTCAGTGGGAAAAGCTCTCAATCGTCAGTCCCTTATCGTGGTGTTCGGGACTATTAAGGTTAAAAGATGCACTGGCATGATTTCAGGAAATCTACATTGGTATATTAATTCTCTTCCCCCCCCCCAGCTCTTTCAGGGTTAGAGATTGCAGAGTTCCAAGGGTTAATGGTTTCGTTTGTGAATTCTGGCTTAACAGATTAACAGCAGCCCCTGTGACACTAGACTGTGACCGTAAGAGTGCCCCCAACGTGACTGCCGTGACAGCTGACCTGTCGTTCGGCTTGCTGGAGCTGTACGAATGTCTGTTTGACAGGCCCAGGAACAGCTCCTCAGGGAGTTTTGGCCACGGCCGCTTTGCCGATGACCTGCCGTCTTGCCAACACATTGAGGTAGAGGAGTTCGTTTCAGCGTCCGGGGGGGGGGTTCAGCTGAAGCTCACAGGGTTCAGGAGAAGGGAGTTTGGAAAATGCATCTCAGCGCTGTGAATTTTTTTAAAAACTTCCTCAGAAAGATGATTCGGTTTTGACAGTTTGTTGTACTTGTGCAAATGCGGTTGTGCTTCAGGAGTGTCATTGCTTTGTGTCTGAAGATTGCTGTTAATTTAGCCCATCCTTTGTGTGCGACCGTACTTTTTAGGAGTCTCAAAATTTACGTCGGATGCAAACACGGGATTTGCATTTCAGTGTAATTACCAGGTTTATTGGATTATTTTTCCCCGTTGTTTGTGAAGCAGAAAGCAATATGAAAAACATGACAAAAACACTACAGAGTGCTGAGATTAATTTTGATCAGCAAGTGTTCTTTATACACATTGCCCTGCAGGTATTGTCATTCAAAGAAGAAGACAGTGTGGCAAATGAATACGTCGCTGTGAAGCCCTCGCTAGGAATTAGGCTGAAGAGTATACAGAGGTCAAGCAGCCAGGTAAGAATGGCCACAAATTTGTCCGGACTCTTTGGTCAGTGTGCAGTGAGCTGAACATTGGAGGGTTAAAGTTGAAAGTGGCTTTTTTTGGTTAAAAGAATGAGGTTGTAACGATAACACCACTTGAGTCTTTCAGGTGAAGAAGCCTTGTTTTTGAGAGCAGTGGTGATGAAAGTATTTCAGGTAGTTTTGAGCTTCCGGTGTTCGATGTTAGGTGTTGGATGGGATCTAGAGTGGTTTTGACCGTCCTCTTTGACTGTCATGTAAGGGTGTTAGCAGGCCAAAGAGATGGAACCTTTGCATGGAATACTGATGTGTAGGCCTTATTTTGCTGACTTTAAAAATTATGTATAAATAAATTTTTTTATAAAATGAGTTTTACTGCAGAGTCAAATAGTTGCATCATAATCCCTGCTGGTAATAAAGAAAATATACATTTTGTCACCTTTGGCCCCTCATAGGGAAGCCAGCGCCGAATCATCCATAAGCCCAAGTCGGAGGTCAGTGTGGACCTTGGCCATCTCTCCTGTGAGTTTGACGTGACCATAGTGGACCGTTTGTACACCCTATTACACCCCCAGTCAGTTGGGCTGGCCAAGGCATCCGTGGGGAACGGCGCCTACCGTTCTCTGTATGGAGGGGTCGTCAACTTGGTGAGTTGACCGTTCAGATCTTGTTTTTGATGAGAGTGTTGTCGAATTCAGAACAAGTTCTCTTTAATACAAGTGTAGTCACAAGGGTTTTCACAGTCCACTTGAGTAGCTTGTGATTTGACCTTTGAGTAGATGACACTTGTAGTAGTTGTTTTCCACTCCCTCCCCGTTTAGGGTGTGTATCTCATTTTGGAACACCTTGGTGCTTGTTGTATATGAAGTAGGAAAACTCAGTTGTACAATTCCTGTTTTATTTTGTCAAGAAGGGCTGGTGTAAACTTACCATGTTATTCATGATTAATTATTGAAATTGCTGAAGTCAGTCCAGTGGTGCAGTGGCGTATTTGGAATACTGTACATTGTCAGGATTTGAGTGGATTAACGTACAGGGCCAGAGCCTCTGAAGACTGACCGCTCCTTCATCATATAGCAGCCATGTACATGTACTTTTGTGCTTTTATCGGCCTTGAGTAGAAGCACCCCCTCATTGATTGAAAAGAACCCACATTGGTCAGGATTCTTCATTTGTTGGTAGCAACGCGACCATAACATAAGTTTGTCCTAGCCATTCGTGAACCAGAGAAGCTCAGTTCCAACCAAAGAAGCCTCTACTGCTAAGAAAATTGTACCTTCTCTTGGTCCAGCTCGGGGCTCATTTGTCTCAAAAGTCAGGACCCTAAAGAATGTCATGAGAACATTGAGAACAATCAGGAACATTCACTGTTCCTTGAAGTGCATCTTCCCAAATGGGAACACAGGTCTGTGTTTGCATGATAACTCAGGAGCCCTGTGGTCTTAATGGGAAACAACATATTCCCATCAAGAACACGGTGTTCTGCGAGCTTGCTCTACCCGTGGGCAAAATAAGCAACATTTCTTGGCCCTAGGCTCCTCCATTTTGTAGTTCAAATGGGCATGAGTTACAGCTGAATGGATGTGCTACTTCATTTGTGATGGTGCTGTTTCTGTGTTTTCACACTCAGATGCAAAGATCGTACTTGAAAGTTTGCAACTTTAACAAACACCCCAGAAACTCAATCGGCAGTCAGATAATGTGCACTGTATCATTTGCTCCTGTCGTGTCCTGCAAGATGTTGAACTCCCTGTGCCCTCTTTTGGCCCCTTTTTCCCAGAACAAGCAAGCTGTCTTCAACCAGGCTCTGGAGGACACACCGTCCGGCCTGGATCAATTCCTAGACATACGCGTCTCTTGCCCAGTGGCACATGTGGCATTCAGGTAAGGGGGGGGGGGAGGTTGGCCACATCGGCAGGCTTCTTACTGGAGCCGTGGCTTTGTGGCTTTCTCTCACAGGAAGAAGAGCATGCCCGTGTTGTAGAGGGTGCACACCGATGATTGCAAGTGACCAAATTTTAACCGAATGTGCACAGACAGTGTCTTCCTACAAATGTGGATCCACCAGAACACTAGCACACCATTGAAATACACCAAAAAGTGTTTTCCAGTAACATTTTCAGGGTGAGGGAAGGGCATTTTCACAGCCCCAAGCATAGTCGTGGTCACATTTGAAGTTGCTCCAATTTGACTTGGCTCGTTTTGTTGACTTCTCAGAATGTACACAAAAAAAGACAGTTATCTTGAGTTCCTGTTTGTGACAAAATGGCAAAATATTGTATTTTGTGCACATTCCATTGCATCTAACGCTGTCGTCCCTCTCTCTCTTTCCTTTCAGATTTCCTATTCCCGATCTGAGGGAACTGAGCGACTGCGTCTGGTGGAAGCGATCCCTGCGGGAGGAGATTCTCCACCTGGAACTCCAGGAGATGGAATTCAGAACGATGCTTGGCGATGGGAAGCCTTACCAAACACTGCTGCTGCAGTGCCGAGAGTTGCAGAGTAAGCCAAGACCCACTTGGTCTTCCAAAGGACAAGCTTTTCGTTAAATCAGAGAATCCTATGCGAAGCTTTCTGTTCCGTCACTGTGCCTGAGTTATTGTCTACTTTCAGTCACGAATCACTGAATAGTCCAGAAAAATAAATCACTTAGTGGTTATTGGAGCTCTCAAAGGAGTATTGAAACTCAAAAAAGTGTCAAACAAAAAACACCACCATTTGTGTGTCTGTGTGCCCCGGCCAGCACTGTGCCGAGGGGACACTTTCTTTGTCGAGGTTGAAATTCCTGAACAGAAATTTGTGTGTGTGGCCCCCATAACACAGGTTGCCTGCCTGTCATACACCTCACTCCTTTCTGCATACATTGCGGCAAGGATGTAGATACTACTTGGGCAAAATTGCAAGGCAGGGGTTAGTTGAAACATGCCATGAATAAGGCCGTATACTCTACTTCGTCTCCGTCTCAGGCTTCATGTAGGAAACCAATTCCCGATTGTGGGCCTGAAGGGTTTAAATTAAATTGAAGTACTGTAATGTTAGGCTCTTTTGCATCTTACTTGATGTTTTGTGGAACTATCAGACTTACTAGTGCGCTTATAACCTCAAAGTCAGGAAGTAAAAAACAGTTGAAGCCCGAGACGGAGCCCAAGTCGAGTATTGGAAAACGGCCCATGCCTTTAACGAGTTAAATTTGAATAAAATCTGGTGCACTGAGTAATATCTGATTGCACATACAAACACCTCTTGATTCGGGGCAAGCGTTTGCACAGGGACCACAATCTCTGGAATGGACTGGTTCCTTTGTGCTGTTCTTATCCATTGAGAACAGTGTATTGATGCAAGGCGCCTCTTATGTGTCTATTAAGCAAAAGCTTGCCCCAAATCACGAGGTATAGCAACAGTGTCTTTAGTATGGAGAACTCAAATTGTTTTGGTCACGTGAATGGAAAGAACTCAGTGTACCAGATTTATTCAAATTTAACTTGTAAAAGGCTTGTGTCCAAATAATCAAAGAGTTCCTTTGGCGAGTTAATTGCTTGCTTTGACCAACAGGCTCGCTTCAAATTGGCCCACTGGAATCCCCCATTTCCTTCCTTCGCGTCAAGGATGGCAACGGCGACATCAACTCAACAGACAGAGACTTTGACTGGCCAAAGTATGAGTTTGTATTCTTGTGGCAAATTCACTAGAGACTTTGCATTTTACAAAGGAAAGAAGTAACATTGTTGCTTTAAATGTACTCAGTTTCTTACATGCATTTGTCTTGAGTCAGTAAATTAGGCAAAATTTGCCAAATTTGTTCCAAAATATGGAAGAACTTTGGAATAAATCCCTTGACTGTAAATTCCACTATTAAAGAAAAACTTCAATCTTGATTATTAAATTAGGCTTATAAACCTAAGGACAAAAAAATACAAGGCAACAAATTTTAATCTTCTATTCTTCAAACATACAAACAATAAAAAAAGAAACCACCAAAGATACCTTGGGTTTATGGTGTGTGAGGACATTATTCTAAACATCTGAGGACTTCTGTGTCCTGGTCTAGATTGGTGGTGAAGCTGTATCCCGAGAGTGAGAAGTCGGTCTTTGAGGACGTGGGAGACAGGAGTGCATCCCCGCCAGTAAATTCCTGGGAGGGGGCGTGTCACTTTGAGAAGCCGGAGGTGTCACCGTTCTCCTCTAAATGGGTCATGTACGACAGCGAAAAGGTGAGTCAGGTGCCGAACATCATTGTACGTTCAACGTGGATCCAGCCTCATCACAGGAGCGAACTGTTTTACAGTAGTGTGTATGTGTAGAACTCATGTATCCACGACCCAGCCTAGCCGCAGGATGACGGGCGCAATCTGTATCTCCAGCACACAAGTTATAACAGCAAGCACTTGGGGCGTATTCCAAACACCGTCCTTGTGTTGGACGAGCACGAGAACGGGGTTCCGAATGATGAGAATCAACTCGTGAACATTGTTCGTGAACCGGATTCTCACTCCCTACTTACTGGGGAGTGGATGGAAAATGTCAAGAACAATGATGGCAAAAATAGGCACTTACCGCAACTTGACGTGTTGTTGCATGAAATAAGAAACTCTCACAATAAGGAAAATATAACCAAAGGCTTATACCCATGACTGCTGGAGAGAATTGACTGTAACCATTCTATGTGGATATTTTGGATTTTTAATTTATTGTACGATTGTGCCTATCATCTCATCTTTTCATTTCGTGTTAAAATGGCGACTGCTGTCTTGAATTTTAGCACCGCTGCACTCCATTTGCACTTTGATGTTTGTGATAAACAACCCAAGAGCACTGTTTGTGAGTTATGAGAACAGGGTTCAAATACGCCCTTGAAGTAAAACAGAAAATGAATTAGTCTAAAACATTGCACAGTGGTGTTGCTTCACTGAAGTGCCCTCACAGGGGGGTGCACAGTTGCAATACAATCTGTAGTCTTCTTCTAACATCTATAACGTACTAGCTCAACAATAAAGAACACGTCTGGTTTCCACTCCCAAATTTCTTGTCTCGTCAAAGATTATTTAATGGTGTAGCCACAAAACCTGAATTGGTTTTTGCTTTTTTGTTGCCTAGATGGTGATGCCGGGAGACCAAGAAGAGATGAGAGAATTCAGCGAGAAGGCCATCGGCAGCGCTCGCATCGTCGTCGACCTCGTTGCACCCAGCGTCAATATCTTGCTGCCCAGTAAGGACTTTGTGGAGCTCCTGTACAACAGGTACGGGCGTTTGAATTGTTGGTCAGACTTTGTACAAAAGGAAGGATGGTGGTTGATACAAGTATGCGGAGAAGGCATTTCCTCGGGCAAAATCTGTTCCAAGGAAATTTGTTCACGCCCCCTAAAGTTGTGCTGTTGGGTGTTGCCCTTCACCAGCCATTTGAAAACTTTGATGTGTTGATTGATGATCAACTGATTGATCAGATCAGGTCAATCAGATGATGTTCAAACCAAGTTATTGTCATTATTATTTATTCGTCCATCACATGAATAAAACATTTCAAAATTGAACAACATGTACAATAAACAAACCTCCCCCCCCCTAAAAAAAAGTGGTAAGCAGTAGCGGGGACCGGGGATGAAAATCCAAGTACATGACAAGACAAATGGCAGTTATGTGGTCAGGGACTGCACAAGTAAAATGAACTCCTATTACCCGCAAGTAAGCAGCCCCGCACATACAATTGACCAGACAGATTACAGACACAGAAAACAACAGCCTCCCGCCCCCCAGGTGATCAAAATGACAGCCTAAAAAAAAAAAGGATGGGTTGAATTACGTGTTCAATAAGAAAGCCTACTTGAGGGCTCTAAGGCATCGAGGAAGGGAGGCAAGAACAGCTGAGTCTTTGATAAGTGGCGGTCAAGAATTCCATATTCTAGGGAAACTGCATGTGGGGGAATGAAACGGAGCTTGTGTGCGGGAAGGAAGATGGCGGAACGTGAGCAAATCTGAGTGGCTTGGATTGACTAGGACGTTGTCACTGTCAATTAAAATTGCTCAACGTCATGAAAGCAAAACTACTGCAGATAGTTAAATTATTCTTTAACACTCTTTCCCGCAAATTTTGTCCAGGTTTGGCTATGATGTGCTACTGTGGCAGCCGGCGGCCCCCACCCCTCGGGACTGTAATGACGGCTACCCATCGGTGGGGCTGCCCAGGCTAGACCTGGCTGGCCACCTAGCTGGCATGAGCATGCAGGAGCGTTTTACCATGTGTCAGTCCGGCCTGTATGTAGGTAAGTCCCAGTGGTCTTACCTTCAAAAATTTAGATTTGACTTAAATTTGGAGACAGATCCATGTGAGTTTTTACATTACATCTTGTCCAAATGGACTTTATCAAGTGTTCTTTTTCGGGGGATCTGCGCTACTCAATTTGGAATCTCTTCTGTGGACAATGTGAATTTTGTTAACAGGCATGCAAAGTATCTGCAATTAACTTAAATAGCAAAGCTTGTGACTTGAATTCAGACCAGAGGTCATGTGTTGATCTCATAGGGCCTTGTGTTGGTCTTGTTGGGTTTTGCGATGGTCATAAGAGGTCTGGACTGCGACATTGTGGGAAGTGGTCTCAGATGACAACCCAAATTGTTCATCCTTTCTGTTTTGGTTGTTCCAATGGTGACCAGACTCGGACTCAGACCCGGAGGAGGACAGCAGTGGGTTCTACACGACGCTCAGGCAGAAGTCCGCTCATCAAGTCCAGAGCGGCAACTCACAGAGTTTCCTGGCCCTCAACCTCACCATCAACCACGGAAAACTCACCATGTGTACTCCATTAAAGGTCAGAGACCCCGGCTGGTCAAACTACCTGAATCGAGTAGCTTGAAAATCTTGGGTTTATTTTGGCGATTACATCTTTCTGGCGATTGCTCTTCAGTGATGTTTAAGTTGCAAATACTCATGCGCTTACTGCATTCAAAGACCTTTTGAGAAACAAAAAACTACCTGGGGGGAAATCAAATGAGGACCATCCGCTTTTTAGTTCATCTGAACCATTTTGTTATTTAAAAAAAATTACTAAAGTAGCCCTGGAACTTGCTGGGGCTCTTTGTGGATAGTTTGGAAACAGGGCACCTGATTATCATCTTTGATGACTACCCGGATGCCCCCCAAGTCCTTTGTTGCAATTTTTTTGGTATTTTGAAACTTTTCAAAGGTTTCCAACCTTCGATGAAATTGAAAGTCCAAAAAAAGGGAAATCTTCAGGGAACAGCAGCAGAGGAAGGAAACAAGCCAGGCGACCATTGATCACTTCCTAGAAACTTTTCTCTGGAGGTCTCAAAGTTGGGTGTGGGTGGCCGGACTGACACACTGGAACTAAGTGCTCTGTACAATGTTTGGTTCTTTGGGTTCCTGGTTCCCTTGTACAGGCAGGGTTCTCACAGCCTGGGAAAGTCATGAAAAAAGTCATGGAAATTTGTTTTCATTTTCCAGGCCTGGAAAAGTCATGGAATTCTTAAAACACTGTGTGATTTCTGTCATAAGAAATAAGTACATAAAGTGCGTAATTTTATTC